AGTCAGATCATCATAGGACACAGAGATCCCACCCCACTTCTTTTGTGGTTCATGGCTTGCTACAAAAACTGGAGCCTGGCCTTACAGGGAGGGGTATATCTGTGAGAGTTCCTGTCCTCTTTTTGCCAGTGTCTAGTCATCTGAAGATGCCAGCCTAACACTATTGTTATGAATATGAAGATGCCCTGTGCCCCATGATGTACTCAAAGAAAAAGATTTTACAGATAAACCAAAAATACGGCTTTCACTATTTGGCATTTGTTGGGAGTGTGGTAGGAAGTTGATAACTTGTCTGGAGATGTGTTATAAAGTGCCAGGATTCTCCCTGCCATCCACTTCCCCCCTCCAGTATGGTTTATTTAAAAAAAATAAAGGAGGAAGCCGGGGACAGTGCTGGAGCATTTAAAGCATTAAAGGATAAGTTCATCTTTATGCAAAAAATAATAAATGCACTTTTTTTGCAGGTTTCTGGAGCCTGTAAAAGCATTGCATCAGCAATCAGCAGATTGCTGGTGCCATGCAGGTCTCCTGCAGACCTGCCAGTATATCTGCTTGCCCCTATGGGATGTAAAGGGAAGCAAATATACTAACAGGAAGAATCAATGAACTACCACAGCGGTCAACAGCACCGTTGTAGTTCACTGAGAACTACAAGCCGACAGCTGTAACGACTGTTGAAACTTGTAGTTCATTCGCAGAACACCGTGAATGAATGACATGAGCGAGTGAAGCCCCGCACGACGCATTTTTCTAAATTGTGGCAGCTAGCGAGGAAGAGAAGATCCCCTGCTAGTTGTCACAACGGGAAGCGGTCTGTTCGTAACATGTTACACCCTGAATATGGGTGTGACATAATGTTACGAAAGGTGAACTATAACCCTGTTCACACTGAATGCAAATTGACATGCGATTTGCAAATCACATGGCGAGTTGCACTCTAGTGTCCGCAATTACAGCGGTCAAATCAGTGCGGTTCCGACTTGGTTGGAGCCGCACCGATTTCCAAAGTAGTACATGCACTACTTTTGGTGTGATTTGCATAGACAAATGTCTTGCAAATCGCACCTGAAACCGACAGGTCACCAACTTTGAAATCGCGTGATTTCACTGTAAGTCGCACGATTTCAAAGTCCGGTTTGATGTGACCGGTGGATTAAACTTATCCTTTAAGTACCATTTGAGGTTTTTTTTTTTTTTTGTTATATAGGAGAGAAAAAATTTAGTTTTGCTTTAAATATTATTATAATAATTATAGCACTGCCTTTCTAATGTCCCTTAGCAATATATAGTAAGGTTACACTGAATACATCAATAAAAATATGGTTACTTTCCTTTTGATGGATACATAATGAGTAAATTTTACTTAAAAAGGTATGCATATTACAAATATAATAAAATATATCACTGTCACAGCACTGTGTTTGTCTGAAAACTGAAATTACTATTAGCACTGTGTTATTTCTTTAATAGAAAATACTGCATAGCAATTGTATCCAGCCCTTTTCTTTTTATATGGTAAACAATGTAATTTTGTAGTACATGTGACTCCATAATGTCACCAGCCATACAAGCTGTACTTACAAACAGGTCAATTTCACCATGTAGTGACAGTTACTCTTTCAAAAAGAAAAAGAAAAAAAGCATGTTAAATTATTTACATGTCTTAGTGGATCGCTCGATATAAATCTGATGAGTTCAGGTAAGGGTGGATGCCAGGGAGCTTATCATTTATTCATATCTCTCATTGACTCCACTGCCAAGGTTCCTCCAAAAGTTCCCCTGTGCCCATCAGGAAGTTTTACTTCTCCTGCTGCACTGTCTATAATTTGGGGGCTGCAGGAGGAAGCAAAGCCTTTCTATGACAATATGCTGCTTCTGGACAGCCTGGTAGCAATTACACACCATTTCAGCCAGCTGTAAGCCCTCCCCTCATCAATGATTAGAAATGTAATCTCTGCTGAGGGCATCACATTTATAGGCTGTAACCTTCACAGAAAAGGTACTCCTGCAACTCTCAATGAGAAAATCAGTGTCATGTGTACATACCCTGAAGGTATGTAGGATTGCTGGTTATTTTACATCATCTGGAGTCTATAAAAAAGGGGGCGTTGCATGCTAGTCATCTATAGATGTGGGATGGCACTGTAAAAGTGGTCTGTCAAGACATATCACTGGTCTAATCTAAATTTTTAGTCAGATACAGCTTAGATTTGATAGATGTGGTCACTCAGCATGTTTGGTGATCCCTTGGTGCTCAGAATTATAAAGGTTCTCACCACGGAATGATTCAACCCATCAATGACATGTCTGACAGCTGACTGACACGCAGCAATCTCGGTCTCTCCCTTAGCCTAAGTGACATATTAGTTTGAATGGATAACTAGATAGATGGACCCTATGATGATGCACTCAGAGGCCAGGAGCCAAGGGGAGCACACGAAGGAGGACACAGCTGCTTTCTTCCAGAAGAGATTGGATTTCCTCCATGCTTAGGTCCTTGGCTTGCCTCCGATTTATTTCTAGGATTTCATCTCCCACCTCCAGGACTCCCTGTGGAAATGATGAGGTGAAGGCTCCGCTCAGCTGAACCACGAACAACCCTGACAGGAGGTGAACAAAGAGTATTAGGACTGGTCGAATAGCTGTCAAAGACAAGGTCAAGAGGTTAGACAGTGAAGTAGAAAGAGAGAAGCATGAGTGTGTGTGCATGAGGACTCCCTTGTGTGAAGTAGCCAACTAGGACCCCAGAAAAAGAGGAGCTCACATCTAATTAAGAAACAGTTTTGTTTAAAATAATGAGCTGGTGAAATTACTAAATACAACCAATTAACACTTAGACATATTTTCTTTACATTGGAAAAAAGCCAAAAGGGAGTTCAGTACCCAGCCTTCCTACCATACCATTTCTATTTACAAGACCGCTCACATACTGTAAACCATAATAGCAGAATCTCCTATTGCATTCTGGAAGTATAATGTTTTTTTGCTGGATCAGATCCGTTCAGTTATGACATGCTGGGAAGGGTTGCCACATCCTTTGTTTTTTTAATATCAGCACACAAAGGGAATTTATCTAGTGCACAATATCTATGGACAGAGAGGGTTGCTATGTATACTGTGATTTTAGATGGAAGTATTGCCGTACAGCAAAAATAGGTTTAAGCTCTGCTAACCATGAGTGTATAAGTTACATGCTTGTGCCGCTCCCACTTGCTCCTGAAGAATTCCTATTGGAGGAAACACATTGGATGTGTCAACTGATGCAGTCACATGGTTTGGGTGATGTCATCGTGTATGGCAACACACAGATCCTGCTTCTGTGAGCAGTGTGTGTATCTGTTGGATGCATGCCTGTTATCCATGTGCTGGTAGAGCACAGTTCCCTGTGAGCTTTACCATTGGTTTTATTTGTTTTAATACAATTGTAGATTTACACTATGCTGGCACTCCGTTTGTGTTTTTCTTTGGAGTTGGCTGACCATTAAGATTTGAAGAATGGCGTCTCTGAAGTTGTAGGCTCTGGTGACTCTGGCAAGATAATGGATTGATATCAACCTTAGAAAATGTGTGTGATCCGGCCACAGAGTGATATCTGACCAACCTATAGTTTGGTGGTCAGAAAGGTCTGGTGAGTTTGAATTTCAGCAGTGGTGTCCTCCATGGCAGGATTACTTTGAAGACAGAGTTATATATGAGCACCTCCAGGCATTTTTCTGTTTTATATTTCACTTTGTTGAAGATAATACCTTTGAGAATTTAGTATTCAGTTTATTCTCTGTTTCGTATTTTAGTTAGGTGTGTGACACTAAATTTTATTAGATAATAGGCATATTTAGTGGTGTGTCAATCTTTTCTGTATTTGCAGTTGGTGTTATTCATTCACTGACAAAGCTGCTATTATATAGGGGTAATTCTGTGCCAAACACAGATTGTCTTTTCTTCTTATCCTGAGGAAGGTGATGTGAGGGATCTCGTAAAGCAAATCTATGGCCAGGCTTTGGACTTTCAAATATTTATATATTCTATAAGCAGTAAAAACAACTATAAACTTATATTTACTGCTTGTTCCGAGTACGATCTCCTACTCAAAAATCCATAGGAACCACGAGTTTGCAGAGTGCACGCCCATTTGGGATGATATTTGACAAGCGGCCAGGCAATCCAGCAGATTCTTGCTGAATCAAGAACAAGTTAGTATAAGACTGAGCTGAAGCATTGGGACAAAAGGTGCTCTGATATGTGTTCCTACACCAAAGTTGTCATCACTGACTTATACAACTGCAGCCACTGTGGAGTAACTCACTTTCAAAGTCTGCAGTTCAAGCTTTAGCTGGGGGGGGGGGGGCATTTACACATATTCCCAGCAGTTACAGCAGCTGGGAATGCGTGTAAATGGAACTGATCTTGTAACTGTTCTTGGACCCCCGAAAGTTACACCTCCCATGACCCCCTGCCATGCCACCTGCATGCCAGAGTAGAGAGAAGAAAGTCCAGTTGCCATCTTGAATGTGAGGTCAGCAGATTCAGAGCTGCAACACTCTATAGAATTCAACTTCACTTCTCCCCTAGAAGCCATATGAAAGGTACTATGGGGAGGTCAGGGAAGGAGTGTAAGAGCTGGACCAGCACAGACAGTAGTTAGATACTCACAGAAAAAGAGTGGGCTATAAAGTAAAAAGTGGGATGGAGGTGGGCTAGCAAATTGATTCCTTCTGTCAAATATTGCAAGTGAATAAAAAACAATATAAATAAAGAAAAAACATTGAGTAATGTTTTAAAATACTCTATTTTTCTTTGATTTTACCTGTTATGTGACAGGGTCTCTTTAAATTGGAATCAAATCCAGGATCCTGGCACTGCAAGGCCACAGTGTGAACCTCAATACCAAACCTTAAACATACACCATATTGCCAAAAGTACTGGGCCAGCCCTCCAAATCATTGGATTCATGTGTTCCAATCCCCTCCATGGCCACAGGTGTATAAAATCAAGCACCTAGGCATTTGTGAAAGAATGGGTCGCTCTGAGGAGCTCAGTGAATTCAAGCGTGGTACCGTGATAGGTTGCCACATGTGCAATAAGTCCATCCGTGAAATTTCCTTGTTACTAAATATTCCACGGTCACCTGTTAGTGATATTATAACAAAGTGGAAGCAACTGGGAACAACAGCAACTCAGCCACCAAGTGGTAGGCCACATAAAATGGCAGAGCGGGGTCAGGACATGCTGAAACACAAAGTGCACAGAAGTCGCCAACTGTCTGCAGAGTCAATAGCTAAAGACCTCCAAACTTCACATGGCCTTCAGATTAGCACAACAGCAGTGCATAGATAGCTTCATGGAATGGGTTTCCATGGCAGAGCAGCTGCATCCAAGCCTTATATCACCAAGTACAATGCAAAGCGTCAGATGCCGTGGTGTAAAGCACACTGCCACTGGACACTAGAGCAATGGAGACGTGTTCTCTGGAGTGATGAATCACGCTTCTCTGTCTGGCAATCCGATGGACGTGTCTGGGTTTGGTGGTTGCCAGGAGAACGGTACTTGCCTGACTGCATTGTGCCAAGTGTAAAGTTTGGTGGAGGGGGGGATTATAGTGTGGGGTTGTTTTTCAGGGGTTGGGCTTGGCCCCTTAGTTCCAGTGAAGGGAACTCTTAAGGCGTCAGCATACCAAGACATTTTGGACAATTTGATGGTCCCAACTTTGTGGGAACAGTTTGGGGATGGCCTCTTCCTGTTCCAACATGACTGCACACCAGTGCACAAAGCAAGGTCCATAAAGACATGGATGAGCAAGTTTGGGGTAGAGGAACTTGACTGGCCTGCACAGAGTCCTGACCTCAACCCGATAGAACACCTTTGGGATGAATTAGAGTGGAGACTGTGAGCCAGGCCTTCTCATCCAACATCAGTGCCAAACCTCACAAATGTACTTCTGGAAGAATGGTCAAATATTCCCATAGACACCTTGTAAACTTTGTGGACGGCCTTCCCAGAAGAGTTGAAGCTGTTATAGCTGTAAAGGGCGGGCCAACTCAATATTGAACCCTATAAACTAAGGGCCAGTTCACCCTACAAAAATGCACTGCTGATGCATTCCGGATATGTTTTTGCTTACAGTTCACACCACATGCAGTTTTGATGTAGTTTGCCATGTTCCAGTATGGTTCTGTGCAGAAAAAATTCAGCATGTTCTACTTTTTTTTCTGCACCAGAAACTGACTGGAACTGACCGCACTGGTGTGAAACGGCCACTGGAATACATGGAAAACACTGTGCATGCATTTTTGATGCAGAAAAAAGCACACTGATCTGCATCTAGTGTGAACTATCCCTATACTACCCCTATAAAGGCGTTGCAATACTTTTGGCAATATAGTGTACCTCACTATGCTGGCTCATAATAAATAAGCACGACATCACAAAAAAAAATATATTCATACCTGTGCCTCTCTTTTCCTTAAAAGAAAGTGGATAACATGTAAACTAGCATCTCTCTGAAACCAGCACCCTCAGTCCGTATGTCTGTGTCCACCCCCTCCACTACACTGTGTTGAATGACAGCATTGCTTATGTAAAGGAAATCACGGGCAGCTCCACTCACCTTGGGAGCTGATCTCATTTCCAGGGTTAGTTCTATTTAGCAAAGACATACAGAGGAGGAGGCATAACCATACACACGGACAAAAATTCAATTTTTAGAATATATATTTTTCTGTTGGAGGCAAGAGGACAGCATAAAAAGTGTGCTCTGAAATGATAATGGATTTATGTTTATGTGGTCACTAAAAACAAACTGAACTTAGTCCTTCTTTAATGATCTGGAAAATTACAGAGCATACAACAGAAAGGGAGTGTTGGTGGCACTGAAATTCTCGGTGGCCCAATTTTGTTGGCTTATTTGGATCACTTTTTATATTTAGTTTCCAATTCCCAAGATAATCAGTTTTATTCTTATATCAGTTGTTATTGTAGTCCTTTTAGCAGCTTCAACTGGGAATCCATGCCAGCAGTCAAGATCACAGCCAGGCAGCAGGTATTTCAGAGAAAGACAAAGGAAGATTGTATGAAATTCTTTAATGTCCTTGAGTGCCGCCAACAGCTTTGTACCAAGCAATTGAGGGAAAATTATATGAATGAAAATCCATCCCATGTGAAATGTGTAGTTAACAGTAGTTAGGTTGTGGTGTGACAAGCTTGGTTTCTAAAGGCTAAGGTCACCTTTAAAAAAAAAATCCATATATTTGCAGATAATAAAAAGTACATTTATTATTCTTTTTACTGGTGCAATGTCAGGCTCCTGCAGACAGCTTTCTGCTCATTCCTGTGCACGGTCTTTCTGGTTGAAAGCTATAGGAAGTTGAATGAACTACAAGAGTGCTCATTAGTGTCCTCATAGTTCATTGAGAACTACAAGCTGTCTGCCATGGTGACTGATGAGCCTTGTGTTTAATTCATTCACAGATTCCTGTGAATGAGTGACATGGCTGTGTGGGCGGCGATGAACTCCCAGCCGCTCTTGGGTGGGCTGAGGGAAGGTGCAAAATAGTACCGTGTTGCACTTTAAAAACAGGGTAACGTGTTACTAAAGGTAAACTTCTCCTTAAATTGCTTTTTTACTTTTAGTGGAGGCGCACTTCCTGACCTCCCACTTCAGTGCTCTAGGTTGGAGTAGCTGAGAAATGGCCACACCCCTCAGTATAAATATCCCCACATTGGGCGTGTCTGATCAGGCTTGCTGGATTACAAAATGCACTGGGAAATGGGGTCAAACTGTGCTGCTTTTGGAGCGCACAAAGATATTTAGACACGTTGGGACTGATTTACTAAACACAGAGACTGTTTGCTTTCCAAGGGAAATTTCCCCAGAGCTTAGTGAATGAGTAAAAGCTCTGCTTACTCCCATCCAATCATGTGGTAGGAAAAAGGTTTTTTTTTTCTTTTTTAATTTTCTTCACGCATGACTGCAAAGTGAAATTGCATCACATTCACTAAGCTCTGGGGAAAATGATCTTTCAAAGTGCAACTTCCTTGTAAAATGAATGTCCTATTTGCCTTTTAATACCTCACACCCAATACACCTTATAACAGGACTGTGAATGTCAGACTATGGAAATGAGTGCAATTTCAGAATGAATAGTCAGACTTCCAGCTATGGTTAAATGTATTTACATACCACAACTCCGGGAATATAATTATGAAAGTACAATCCAATCAAAACTAAAATGCAGCTTTGAGGTACATGATGGAAACAGAGCCTAAATGCTCCATATTTTATTTGTTACAAGTTGGGCATTGCTGTAGTGCACCAGCTGACTTTGCAGCCTTTTGTTGGTAATCTGAGTCCCCTGCTTGTGATGCAATGGAACTGTTCCCAAACACACCCGATACAGGCCCATTGCTGTCTCCCATGACCGCCTGATGGTAAAATGGCCAGGACTAAAAATTTTGTCATAGCTATCAGTCGGGTTCAAAGCTGCCCTGGAAGTCTGAATGTGGGTAGAAGCAAAGGTGAGGAAGTTATACTGAACAGGTTTCAGGAAATACACTCCAAGTTACTCTATGAGGTTCTTTCTGAATTCTGGCTGCAGTAGGGTACAGCTAAAAATGTGTAAAGACACCAAGACAATTAAATCTATGTTCACACAGTCACCTGCTCACCTGTCACATTTTTGACCCTGTATATAGTATGACATGCATATTTTTGTACAGCGATGGGTCATTGCTTGAAGCATATGTCAATGGCCATAAAGGAGTAAGGACAGCATGTAGCCCTTCTCCCTGTACATCAGCCCAGTTTACGTAGCTCCTATCCATACCCTGCTCTGCTCCTGCATTATCTGCTGTCATAGCAATGTACAGACTTCATGTTTAACAGTGTTCTTCCTAATACCAGCCTTTAATAGACGTTTGTACTAACAAACATGTATTCATTAAATGCCAAGAATGCATTCTGTCCCTAGCAAGAAAGATAAAAAGTTTAGAGTTTGTATTCTCTCATGAATACAACAGTGTGTGTATGATTTGATTCTCAGAATACCTAAGCAGCAGTAGGCTGATAAAAGCACTAAACATATTCTTCCTAATACAATGGACAACAGAACGAATGGTTTGTTACAAGTGGCGTACACAGGTGCAAACTACAATGCGGCTGCGGGGATTTGAATTATCTGATGTACGGCTTCTGAATTTTTTTTTTATCTGGAATATATGGTAAGATTTGTGGCATTGGTTAGTTTCTGATACAACAGAAATACAGTATATCAACGTTTTCATTTTCATTACAATTTCTGCTTAAGATTTGCATGTTATATTAATGGGCCCAGCAATGAGCTGTGGTAATAAGGAGGCAAATATGTGGCGTTTAAAGCTGAACTCCAGGCAAGTACAGTAGCTGAATACACAAATTAAATACATACTGTATATAGCAGCTCTTTTACCTGCTAGGAAATTTGTATTTCTGTCCATCCAGTCCTGAGACTTACTCTGCTCTGCCGCACTGCACAGTGTTGTATGGCAGGGGAGAAGACCTGATTTTTCATGCTGCATTTAAAGCTGAATTAATATCAACTAAACAATGTTTATAAATGGACCCCCAGGAGGTTTATGCCATATTTGTACTAGTATGCACCGCAGATGTATGTGTCATACAAAGCCCTGCAATGCTGTGCTGTCAGTGCTTCAGCTGGTCCCGGGCGCTTTCATCTTCACCTAGTCTTCCTTCAGGGTTTGCCCTGTTCTGCTGCTTGAATGGCCAGGCCACGATGACATCACTCCTGCACATGGGAGTCACTTCATCATGGCACTGAGCGGTGCAGTAAATGCACATGCGAGGCTTAGTGTACATTACCGCTGACAGGCCGGGAGAAGCATTTATGACAGAAGAGACCACTAGGGTCCTAAAGTATCCTGTGCACTCTGCATTGTTATGTCAAGGAGTCTTATCAGCCCTGCCAAGTTCTCCTTTGGGAACTACAGGACACCTCCCCTGGGCCATGGTGATGATGCGAGCAAGAGGTGTTCTGTAGTCCTAACACACGTCCTGTACTTGAGTTTGGATACACTTTAATCTGTATCTTTTATATCTACCAGAAGTTCACTTTTAACATTTTACTTTTTATTCCTGAACATAATAAAAATCATTGCAGAGATATAAATTCCCTTAAGGATAAGTTTACCATTTGAAAAAAAAATTAGAAACATACATTTGTGCATTTGTTTTCCTGCAGACTCTCAATATAGCTGCCTGCCCCTACCTCGTACAGCCAGGCAGTTACCTGAGAGCAGGAAGATCAATGAACTACCAGAACCCTTACCAGTACCCTTGTAGTTCATTGAGAAGCAATGGCTGACAGTATTAGTAAGCATTCAATAAA